GGGGTATGAGTGTTTTGGCTGCGGTGAGCAGATGTATGGTGAGTGAGTTTTTGGGTGCTATATTTTTTATGCAGTATTCAAGTATTGTGGTCCTATCAGTTGATCTTGGAACTGCATGGCAGAACAAGCGATACTATCTTTATTTTCACATGTAGAGTTCCACTGATTGTGGCTATATTAGCAGATAGTGGCTATACCTCCCATTCTAGCTTTAGATACTTATTAGCCATTTAGATAGCTACTCCCTTCTTAATCTCTGGGGGTTGCTCTGTGTATCCAAACGTGGGATACATGTACATTTCCTTTTCTGTTAATAAATACATCTATTTGTAGCAATGTACAGTGTCCTACATCATTGACATTCTGTATCATTTCAGACAAGGATCTAAGCCCTTTTTCTTTCGCTTTCTCTCTTTTTTTTTTTTTTTTTCACAGAGATTTATAGTCTGTTTGCCATTTATATAGGGAGCTGTCACTATGATATAATTCTCCCCCTTTCTCTATCCCACTGTTTATTCCAGCCCCCTTTTATTGATTCAGGACAAGGCTATGTCTTACTGCTACTCCAGTTGACCCACTAGTACCATTAGGCGTCCCTAGTGGACTATATTCTTATCCCTCTATCCTATTCGTCCCCTCTCTTTCCATTTTTTATTTTATATGTATCACATAATTCTGATTTTATTTTTTTCTATTAAAGGTTAAGTTTTAGCATTTATTCTAGGCAGGGGCTTCCTAATCGGGTAGACATTGGGGTAGGAGGGGGGTTGTTTCCCCTCTTCCCCCTTTTCCTTTAGGTCTTCCTTTTTCTTTTTTATACTTGCCTTTCCTGCAGCTCCTCCAGCTCTCCTGTGTAAATCTCGCTTGTAATGAGCCCGGCGGTTCTGGTCTGTATTATTGCAATATAAGTTGCTATAATACAGACCCTGACTCAAGTATAAGCCGAGGGGGGCTTTTTCAGCATAAAAAGTGCTGAAAAAGCTTATACTTGAGTATATACGGTAAATATATATATATATATATATATATATATATATATATATATATATATATCTCTCTCTCTCTCTACCTACCTCATATCATCATAGATTGTAAACTTTGAGCAGCGCCTTCTTCACCTCTTAAAGATTTCCCATCTATAATTCTAAAGCACTGCAGCAATATATGAATGTTCATATTAATAACTTAACTGGGTCCTGCATGCAACCATCCTCATGTTTCCTTTGAGCCAAGCACAGCCCGATACAGTTCCACACTTATTGGCTGAGCGCGCTGATACTCAGTGAAGCAAACTGGATTCTCCATGCAAAAGAATTCAGACGCTGGGGCAAGAGCACCCGGTGGAGCTCAGGGTGTGGTTAAGATGCTTCAAGTGTTCCTTTAGTGGAGAATGGCTCCTAAAGCAAATAAGTAAATCTTTAATTTTATTATAAAGATATATGATATATTTATATGCCTTTATGAGATATTATATTCATACTTGCTTCTGATCTAGCACTGTCATGACAGAGGTATCATGGTTTCTCCTGTCTCCTTCCTGCTTTACCCTTTTGGGATTTTTTTTTTTTAAAACACATATACCTTTGGGTGTACGTATGTATATATTATTTTTTCTTCTTTCATTTAATATAAAATGTCCACTAACAACACGTTCAGTTATACATTTTTCTCTATTAGTTTAAATAAGACCGTGATTGACTCACTTATTGTTAGTTGCTTAGCAACTAAGGGGAGTAAAACAAGGGTGGGGCTTAACGTCTGATCTGAATAGCAAATCCATCTACATGGAGAGACAGGCAGATTTTGCAAGGTATATTGACTTTAAAAGTAATTTTTTTTTTTTTTTTTAACCATATTCTGATACAATAGAGATATTAACAGCTTCATGGACTGGATGCTGAGTATTTTCAAAGGCCTTTTTATGGAAATGCATAGAATTAAAAATGTAACATAAAATTGTAATTATCTATGTAAGTGTCATAATTATTGAAAATGTTCCTTTTTTGTTCAGAATAGAAAATGGGATTATTAAAGGTACACTATAGTCACCAGAACCGCTACAACCTAATGTAGTGGTGCTGGTGTATAGAGCCTGTCTCTGGAGGTTGAGCATTGTAAATGCTGTCTTTTCTGAGAAAAGGCAGTGTTTACACAGCTGCCTAAGTCCACCTCTACTGGCTGATAGAATACTTCCCATAGAGATGCATTGATTTTATGCATCTCTATGAGGAGATGCCGATTGGTGGAGCATGGCGATTTCCAGCGCATGGGTTTTAACCTCCCAATGCTTTCATATCGGGAAGTATTGGATTGATGATCTTGGCCATGGAGGGGGAACAGCAGTGCAGAGATTGGTGTGCAGACACTGAACTTTCCTCAGAGCTGCATTGATTCAATGCATATCTATGAGAAGTTGCTGATTGGCCAGGGCTGTGTTGGATTGGGCTGGCTCTGTCCCTGATCTGCCTCCTTGACAGTCTCAGCCAATCCTTTTGGGGAAGCATAGTGATTGGTTCAGACCACCACTTCTGATGTCAGCAAACACAGGCAGTTTCAGAGGCAGACAGGGCAGACCCAGCAGCTTCAGACTTGAAAACAAGTAAGATTTTACTATTATTTAGGGAGGCAAGAGGGGGTGGGGGTGGGGCCAGGGGAGCTAGATGGTGGCTTTAACACTAAATGGTCAGGAAAACATGTTTGTGTTCCTGACCTTATAGTCCTCCTTTAAACATGGATTGTCCATTTTGCACTTTAACCACACAGTGCTGGATTAAACTTTTCCAACCGTTCAGATTCCATAAGCCAGAATGAGAGGTTTTGAATCTACGTCATGGAGAGGGTATAGCCAAAGTCTGATTGTTTAATGTCTAGGAAGTTGCACCAAAAGCTGGAACTTAAAAACGTTCTATATTTTCGCACAAAAGAGGTGACGGGGACTACCCATCTTACGCCCAAGTTCTAAGTTGAAGGTACTATATATTGTAGGTGCTGGGCACCCTCAAAGTGTAATCATTTTTATTTATTTATTTTAATTGTGGTTATTTGTTTAGCATTGTGATCAACTGTGATTTAAAAAAAAAATAAAAAAATTCACAAAACAAATTCATGGGGAGATCTATCCAATTGAGCAATTGTTGCCTAAAATGTGCAATTCCCTGCTGAATTACTGATAGTTCCCAGATGAGTAAATAACTGTACTGGAATAATTCTTAAAGCATTGTACTCCATAGGACTGCTAATGTTCTTGGCTGCTGAAAGGGACTCTCTAAGCTGTAATGGTTCTGATGCTTAATGTAGTGGTTCTGGTACTTAAAATCTGACCCTGCAGTCTGACAACTGTAAATACTTCCTTTTTTGAGAGACTGTAATCTTTACATTTTGTCTCTAAGGGCACCTCCAGGAGTTGTCACTCAGACAGCCCTATAGACCCATCCTTGTGCGTTCCTGCAATCTTTGTTGGACTGAAGCTTGAGGGTGAGCCTTAGGAGAATGGCTGAAATGTGCAAACCCCCTCAAAAGAGAACATGTTAACCTTACAGGGAACTGCCCTGGCCAATCCCACAGTGCTCTTGATCGGGATATTTTCTTTGTGTCCACAAAAGAGGTACACAAGGGAATAAACCTTAGATGACTTTGGCAGTAGCCCCAATTAGGATGGCCTGTTTATTCTGGAACTCTCCACGATTCGATTCACGCCACATCTGTTGTCACACCCCGTCATCCGTGGTCCAATCGAATGCTTCTCATAGAGAAATATTTGAATGGACCCTTTCACTCGCTCAGATTACATGCACATGCTCTGGGCTGGCTGCAAGGGAGAAGCTCATATCTGCATCTAAAAGTAGAAATGGTCATGGTGGTTGGACTAACCCTTCAATTGTTGGTATTTTAAAGAGCATTTCAAATTTTAGGCCAACATAAACTAACTGAATTGGAAAACTGACTGATAGGGTTATTCAGTAAAGATTGAATTCAGAATGAATTTCAAATATAAGGACTAAATAGCAGAGCTGGAAAAATGTTGGCTTTAAAGTTTAAATTCATGTTGAATTTACTGTCTGGACTATTTACTAAAGTGAGCATTTAAACTGAATTTCAAATGTTATGCAAGAGTATCTGAAATTAAAGCATAACGAACAGATGATTTATTTCCATTTATGGTATTGACCTTAAATTTTAAATTCTCATTTTAGTGAAAATCCCTCTGTAAGATGCTTTGAGCAGGGTCCACATCAACCTATTGTTTCTGTAACATTTTCTAATGGCCTCATTTATTGTTAAAAGCATAGCTGGCTTGGAGAATTGTTCCAGTTATGAATTTAAAGTGAATTTCAATTTTAAAATCAAAATGACAATTCTCCAAGCCAGCTATGCTTCTAGTTCAGGTATTTTGGCTCTGAAGTTAAAATTAATTTATTCCAACAATTCTCATTTTACAGGGCTATATTCACTAAAGTGAGAATTATTATTCTCATTATCGGCATTCATAGAACGCCAACATATTCTGCAGCGCTTTACAATATTAGAAGAGTGGGAAGATTTAGCAATAGATGAGACCACAAAATTTTACTGGAACAATAGATCGATGAGGACCCTGCTAAAAGTGCTTACAACGGGTTATTCACTGAAGTGAGAATTCAAAGAGAATTTCAAATTTAAGGTCGAAATAGCCAAAACAGAAAAATTCTCTGTCCGCTATGCTTTCACTTCAGCTACTCTGGCATAGAATTTGAAATTCAGTTCTCACTTTAATAAATATCCCTTCTTGAAAGGCCCACAAATCCCACCCCACATCATTGGCTGGAATGACAAAAATAGAAAATAATAAATATATATATGAAACATAGCTGGAGTGTCTATATTTATTTATATATAAAACCCCATGTATGCCTGTAGTTCTGTGTATCCTAGATTGTACATAAAACGTTCTCAGCACGTTGCCTTTTGTCGTGTTGTCAATAAAGTTTTAGAAAGTACGAAGAGGGGGTGTTGAGAAGATACAGGAAGTGACGTCAAATGATGGTCGTGCTGTGTGTGCAACTGAAGTGAAAGAGCTAGAGAGCAGAGGGATCGCAGGTACGGGAGTCATAGAGAGAGGGGAGGGGGGGGATAGAAGGGAATGGTCCATCCACAAACCCCCCCAGGACCTGATACCGAGCTGTGGTGACGGCCCAGCGTTGCCATGGCAGAGGATGTGCAGTGCATTGCGGCGCTCTGTGTGTGTTGAATACCCAACCGGCCGTGAAGGGGTTTTCGCTGCATGTACGTCGCTGTAATTTAGCCATCTTAACTGGTTTACATGGAGCCCGTAGGGGGCGGGGAGTGCCAGTCTGGAACGGATATTCCGTGCTAATTTACAGGCATGGGGAGGACAGCAGGACAAAGGGGAACTTTATTCCCCCTAGCCATGTCCCCACCAGCTCTCTCCAATACATTTACTGTGGTTTTGTGGGGAAACACACAATGTAGTTTCCTGCCTGGCATATTGATTTGATTCCCCTCTACCACCCACTTGCAGTGAAACCTGTTCTATTATGTGATTATTTCCCACACACCCAACCCATAACCTGCATCTATCAAAACTAAAGATATGCCTTGCACTTTCCACAAGGTCACATACAGTAAATTCCTCCATATTTTGTTTACACTATAAATCTCAAAGTATGTTATACGATTTGTTTATAGAAGTTGTGTTGACAGAATGTAATGTATCTCTTGATTTTGTTTTTTTGTTAGATGTGTTCCCCCCCCACCCCCCTAAATATTGAGAGTTAGGATGTGTTTTAAAGCGGCTTATTTAGATGGATGATATAAGCGCTCGTGACCAAGCATGTAAAATTTTAGGGCAAGTACAAAAGCTAACTTTAGCTATTCTTCATCCGTGCTATTTTGGCCTAAATCTTGAATTTATTTTTTTTCAGTTCATCAAGTTTACTTTTGTTTAACTGACTAGTTAATGGTTCACATACCAGATAAATTGCTCTCTGCACCTTCAGAATTTGAACAGTCCATCTCTTACCATAAAACACACAGAAAACCCAAACCTATTTAAAAAAAAAAATGGTTAGTTAGAAACATAGAATGTGATGGCAGATAAGAACCATTCGGCCCATCTAGTCTGCCCAATTTTCTAAATACTTTCATTAGTCCTTAGTTTTATCATATAGTTAGGACAGCCTTATGCCTATCCCACGCATGCTTAAACTCCTTTACTGTGTTAACCTCTACCACTTCAGCTGGAAGGCTGCATCCACTACCCTCTCAGTAAAGTAATACTTCCTGATATTATTTTTAAATCTTTGTCCCTCTAATTTAAGACTATGTCCTCTTGTTGTGGTAGTTTTTTTTCTTTTAAATATAGTCTCCTCCTTTACGGTGTTGATTCCCTTTATATATTTAAATGTTTCTATCATATCCCCCCTGTCTCGTCTTTCCTCCAAGCTATACATGTTAAGATCCTTTAACCTTTCCTGGTAAGTTTTATCCCGCAATCCATGAACCAGTTTAGTGGCCCTTCTCTGAACCCTCTCTAAGGTATCAATATCTGTTCAGGATTAGTATTCTTACACATTATCACATACACATGACAGGAAATATCAAAGAGGTTTATTAAACAGATAATTGCTAAGCGAAGTTCAACATTTAGACTCTGCTAAAAGAAGTGGAGTGAAAAAAACTGCTTGTTTTTTCCTAGCTGTTATTTTGATTTTTACATTTGCAATTCTTTTGGCAAGTCCACAATTTCCGGTTTACTGAACAACCCAAAAGGAAGTAAACTAGCCTTGTCACATGTGAGATCATTGTAATTTTTTTTTTATTTTTATAGTAAAGGCGTTTTAAGGTGTCATGTCTGATTTACATGGTGGCACATGAGAATGAGTCATTGGGGAATATGCTCACCTGATGCTGTCCCTTTTCATCTCTGCCATTCGATTCAGCTTCTTGCACTTCACTTTTTTTTTTTTTTTTATACTTGCAAGAAATCATTTTACTTAACATTTATTAGTTATGTAGCCAGGATAGATGGAATAACCAGAGTTGCAACATGATAAAGTGGAAGTACAGGGACATAAAAGGTGGTGAGTGCCTACTCAAACGATTTTATGTTGTAATCTGCCACAAAGCATGTCAATTTTGTATGGTTTTGTGACATTTTATTTTTTTATAATTATATCAAATAGTTTTACTTTTGTTTTCAAGATTCATAAAACACAAACCTATTGGTGTATAGTATGTAGTAGGAAATTAAAATTTTAACCCCTTTCGTGACAAAAAAAAAAAAACATGAGTATTTACATTTCTCCAAAACCACCCCTCTAGTGCCTGTCAGTCACTAGTTGCACTTTCTCATTGAAGACTTTAATTTCTTTTGAAGGTTTTCACATTTGGCATCATCACGCTGTGCATGATGCTGCCAAATGCTGTGAATATTTATCATTGGGTTTGATGATACTTATCCAAATGACTAAGAGTGATGATTGCTGCGTATGCATTATAGGTCCCAAGTATGAGAAGCATTGGATTGAACAGAAATCATCACAAGTGATGATCTCAGAAGAGTAGTAGTGGCTGCCCAGTGAAGGCCCTTCTTGATTGCAGGTGAATAAAAATTGAGTTGTTCTTTTTAATTTTTTTATTTATCTTTCATTATTTTTTGTTTTGTTTTGTTTAAATCGAAGGGAAAAAAAGAACACACTAAAGTTAAAAATATTATACTATATTATGCAATTTTATCCTTAGATTTATCAATTAAAGGGAGTCTATAGGGCAGGGTAAGCAACCTTCAGCACCCCATATGTTGTGTACTACAACTCCCATAATGCTCATGTAATCCACAACATATGTAGCGCCGAAGATTCTTTCCTGCTAGAGCATTATAAGAACTTCATCCATCATGAACCTCATTGGTGCTTTAATTGTGCCCACAAGTAAAAGTAGAAGTCTACAGAAGGTCCTGCAAAAACTTGGAATCCTTCATAGACCAAGTGGCATGCTTTGCAAGAACAAGCCTGATTTCTAGTGACAGTTGTGGAAATTGACAAGACCTGACAAAAGAAGTCTGACCTATTGTCAGATGTACTCAAAGTAGTACCTACATTATATTTTGATCTCTTTTAATTGCGCAGGGATTTCAATAAAATGGGAGTATTTCATAAATTTGAAATGCTCACTATGGTACGGTCTATTTATAGCGGCTATCACACTGAATGAGATTCCCTGGCTGTCCATAGCCCAGCTCCAATAGGATATGTGGCTATGATGTTAATTGCACACTGTCTTAGCCATACCAGCGATGGCAGCTCTAATAGGCTGTGAATGTAATTTTACCTCTCACATCCGATCACTGACACCCATCACTCCTTGGGTTAATGTAGAAGTGTTAGCTTGAGCTGCAAAGAGTGGACAAGGTATCCCAAGTTTCATTAACAGTTTAACACTAATGAAGGAATAGTATTCCATAAGATGAAGTGGTTACAGTACCTAGAGCAGGGTTAGGCACTCCAGATGTCCCTCTCCCCACCTTCTGATAGGAAACTGAATGTGACAGGACACCAGCCTGACACCCTCCTCTCCCTCGTGTGTTAGCTAGGAGGAAATGACAGACTCTCACTTCTTTCTGGCTGTCAGTATGAGTGGGGCCTGGGTTGCAACACACGACCAGACTCCTGACAAGACATGCCCACCGCGTGGTCTTAAGTGCATGGGTCACCTGGTGGGCCCCCAGTGTAGTCGCACAGACAGTATATCAGTCGCTGGGTTTGGATGCATTTTACTACAGTTAGCTTCAAGTCTCTCTATCGTTTTAGGGAGGGTTATTTACCAAAGTGAGTAATGTCACAAATTCAAAGTGTATTTAAAATTAAAGGAAACAATAGTCGAATTGGAAACATAGTGCACTTGGTTGAAAACCTTCCCAGTTCAGCTATTTTTGTCATAGATTTAAAATTCATTTTAAATTCCTGACAGTTGTCACTTTAGTGAACAACACTGTTAGTGACCAAATGGTTATTTTATTATTTTTTAAGAGGATTGGTTACACAGTGACCAATGGGCTAGTTTGTGGTTTTTACATTCTTTTGTGTGGTGTCTTGTTTTAAAAACAAACAAAAAAAAAATATTTTTTTTTTTTAATGGGGGGTAAAGGGGCAGGCTCTTAAGTATTCTCTTAGCCCCCTGTTCTTTCACAATTTCTGTGAGTGAGTGATCAGGATTGGAGAGCACTCAAATGACTTTCTAAAGCTGTGTGTGCCTATCAGCATTTCCACACATGCCATTGCTCTCTGAAAGCAATCACATGTCAGGAAATACTGGTACGGAAATACTGTCTCTCAGCTGGCAGTATCGGCGTGTACTTGTACATTGTGATCACGTCATGCACATTTGCCATGATCTGCAAACGTTGATGTTCTGGGACAGTTACACATCCAATAGGGACATATTTTTGTAATTGTCCCATCACATCTCCCAGCATTGAAGGGATTGTAAATGTGTTGGACACTTGGACGATTGCAATTGGGAGCGTGCTTTAGGTAAATTAATGTGTAAATCTATAAATATTAAAGTTTAAGTATAAATACTCCTTTCCTAGATTAATACCATTAATTTAGAAAAAGATGGAAAAAAGCCCAGAGAAAAAAGGCACAATATGACTAAAATTTAGGTGATGCTGTCAGTTCTCCTGGTGACAAAGTTTTTAGTCCTTGGTTTTCAAGAGAAGGGAACAAAGAGGAAGGAGCAGGTGCTTATCCGTTGACTTATGTAACAAGCTAAGCATGCTTTCATTGGCCATGGTCGAAACATCTTATGATATTTGTCATGTGCCTGCTATTCTTTGATATGTTGTAAATTTTACTTTTGTAACCGTATGTTTCAATATGTAGTTGCTTACAGAAAGCACTATGATTTTGTGGTCTTAGATTTTTAGATTAAGTACAGTTTCACCTCATACTGAAAGGATTTGGGACATTTGCTTATTCATATATCCATGGATTTTTGGAATATGGACTTTTTATGATTTATTAATTATTTGGTTGATTGATTTTTATTTATTTTTTTAAATTTTAGCCACCTTGTGCCTTGGTTTTTCAATCTTAATTCTTTATAGCAGTCTTTTTTTTATTAAAAAAATAGTTTGGGCACCATAACTTATTAGAAATGAACTTGTTATGGTGTCAGGAGGTCCCTTGCACGGCTCACTTAAAGGGGTTAAACTATTCATTATTATGTTATTTATATAGCGCCAACAAATTCCGCAGAGCTTTACAGTGGGTGGACGAACAAACATGTAGTTGTAACCTTACAAGTTGGACACACAGGAACAGAGGGGTTGAGGGCCCTGCTGAATGCTTGAGGGAGTGGGGTAAAGTGACACAAAAGGTAAGGATAGTATTAGACTAATGACGGTTGCAAGAGAGGAACGGTTTATTCAGGAACAGTTTAACCGCAAAGTCTGTGTTCCAGAGCCGAGTCTCTTTCTCTGTCCTTCTGTTTTTTTGTTTTGTTTTTTAATCGGGAAACCGGAAGACTCCTGCAGAATCAGGCAACACGCTCACTGGTTAAGAGCTTCAGCTGACTGCTGTCAGCCAATCAGTGGCACTGCCAAATTGTGCAAGAGCCTCCCAGTTTCCTGATTTCAAGAAAACGTAAGGACAGAAATGCAGGGAGATTTGGTATGGAAACTCAGACTTTGGAGTTAAATCATTCCAGAACTATTTAACCCCTTAAGGTAAGCAAGCACCAGGGACCTCCTGGCACCATAAGAACTTAATTTTGATTAAGTTGCGTTGGTGCCCGTAGTGTTTCTTTAAAAATACCATGACAATTTAGAATTAGTGAAAATAAAAATATATATTGTAAGAGATATCCATGTCTTGAAAGAAAAAAAATGCAGTGTGACTCAAAATCTCTTGTGTCAACTTTCTCAGACATTAATATTTATCGTCAAATTGAAAGTGGTTTGACGCCAACCGGTAACACCGTGACCGAAGACTCTTTGCAATATGCAAAATAACCACTACAAAGACCTGTAGTGGTAACCGCGCTTAGAATGCTGCTATAACTTCAACACTGATCAGGTTCTTCTATATAAGGTGTTTTACGTTTGCAAACAAGATTTTTTTTGGCAGTTGTATCTCAGGCGTATGCCTTCTGCGGTTTAAAAGCAAACTGATAAACTACACATCCCAGCAAACCAAATTATACAGTGGTTTTTATATTGCAAACTTTATAAAAAGAGCTACGGTATTTGTAACCTAATCTACACAGTTCACCTAATTTGTGCGAATATTTGGACTGTCCCTTTGAGTTTAGTCAATATTGCCTGCCAGTGCTGGAAATGCCCAAGATGAACTTACTGGTTGTCTTATTCCAACTTTCTTGCGTCATGGAAGGAGTTGTGTGCATGAGATGCCTCCAAGGCTAGTTTAAGTGATTCTGCTAGCTGGGAGATCATGCGCATGGTACAATACACATGACAAAGTGTAGTTTTCTTGTTGTGTATTTTGTAAGTTTAAAAAAAAAAAAAAAGATTTAAACCCCTTAAGTGATAGTCCTGCTTTATTGTTTACCATGCAAACCTAAAGTTTTAGTTTAATGGTTTAAAAGGGAGAATGGAGATCTATGAACTTGCAATATCGCTTGTACCCAAGACCTAAGAATTGCAGCATAAATAGATATTTTATCTTCATCAAAGGGAAGATGTCAAGATTTGACTTGCTATCCTGCCTCAAACGTACATTTCATACTCTGTATTCTTTTTTTTTTTTTTTATATTCTTTATTTTTGTTCACATCGCATATGCACAAAGTTTAGATTGCATTACAGCGCTATAAGCAGTGGAAACAGTTTAAGCAGGTTGTAGAGTATAATAGCAACCATTAGTGCGTAGCCACTTAGCATCGGGTTGACATATGCGACATGGGTTTTTTGGTTTTTGTGATGTAACAATTTTTAACTGTCAACTTGAAAATATAGATAAAATAGAGAATAAGAGGAAAATACCCCTAGAAATATACATTGCATCCTCTGCTTCCAGGGCGCTATGTGTTGTTAGGTTGTATCGTGAGGAATTGTGTTGTGCTATGTGTGCGCCATGCGCTTAAACAGAGGCAGGTGCCAACGTGGCATTGAGGCATTAATAGGGGTAAAAATGGGGGGGGGGGGGGGGGAAGTACTTTTGGTGGTACTACGGCTTAGCAAGGTTGCCTACGGAGCCAGAGAAATAATAACAGATCTTAGTAACATATGAAACTTCAGGAGTAAGAAATTATATAACTGTCAATTATGACATGCAGGAAACAAATAGTTCAGTCGGTGTCAAGCTGGGGGGTCCGCCGACCCCGCCAGTGCATATCGTGGGACAAATGGAGGGATGTCTTCTACTGCCCGTGTTCTTCTGTCCCGTGGTGATAGGGCTTCTGCTGAAACTCCCAGTGCTTGGAGGAAGGCAGGTGCATCTTGGAGTTGCGAGAGTGGGAACTTCTTGCCATTTTTCTCTGCCACTAGGTGGTGTGGGCCCCATCTGTACGGGATGTCAGCCTCCCTCAGCAGCTTTGTAGCGGAGCGGAGTGACTGCCTCCATTGCATGGTTGCTCTTGAGAGGTCCTTGTAGAAGGACAGCTGCGAGCCTTCAAAAGCCAGTGAGGGAGATACTCTTGTGGTTCCCAGGACTGCGGACTTGTCAGAGTCCCTCTGAAATTGCAGCAGCACGTCCCTGGGTGCCTCTGGGGGTGCCTTGGCTGCCTTGGGCAATCGATGGCATCTGTCAATTACAGCTTGCTTGGCTTGCTTAGGTGTTAGCAGTGTGGCTAGCAATCGCCTTATGTAGTGAGGCAGTTCATCTGGTGAGGTGGATTCAGGTATGCCTCGTATCCTTATATTGCGGGCTTTAGCCCTGTCTTCCAGACCTGCCAGTCGCTGGCTCATTTCGCCACATTTCTTTTGTAGGGTATGGAGCGTAGCCTCTGTGGCTGATTGTGCCAGATGTGTACCTCCTAGTTCTCCTTCCACTGCCTGGACACGGCCTGTCAGCTTAACGATATCCTCTCTTACCACTGCTATGTCAGCTTGAAACATGGCCTTGAGGTCCTGCAATAAGGCTTTAATATCTGCCTTGGTTGAAGGGGCAGCGTCCCCAAGTCCCACATACTGGGATTGTGTGTTCATCGTGGCTGGTATCATGGCAGAGAAATCCTCCTCTGGTGTGTTCTCGGCTTCCGACGAAGCCGTGGAGTAGGCCGTGGTCGACGCCATCTTGGGCTGCACGGGGTACTGCGACTGTTTGAATAAATTGCCTATATCTCGGCAGCCGATTCCAGGATCCGCTCGCTGCTTTTTGGAGCGGCGCCCCATGTTCCCAGGACCCAGTGGAGCTCGTTTTGGGCTTTGTGTGTGCCCAGTGGGTAGGTACATTCGCCGTTTAATCAGCCGGCGGCTCGGAGCTTGCAGAGGATGCGACCGTCTCGCTTGGGCGCTGGCTCCGCCCCCCCCCATACTCTATATTCTAATGTGAAATGAATTAGAAATATATTTACATTGTAATGCAAGGTAAATTGAGGTAAATAATGACCAAGACTGACAATGTCAAAGCTTGACTAAAGTGCCACCTTTTTGTCAACCTGCATGTTATACATAAGGAAAAGTAGTCACTACGTTTCCTTATGTATAACTTTAGAAATAAGTATACTTTAAAGCTGCTTTGTCACCATAAACTTACCTTGTTTCAATCTGTTCCTCTGCTTTTCCTCACTCCTTATCCATTCTTCCTTTCTTGTCGAATTTATAAGGCAAAGTATGCATTTCTTTTTTTTACCTCTTGACAAAATGTGGAGCTAAATCTCTCAAGATTTATGAATTTTCCCAGCCAGGGAAATACAGCTTTTCCTTACTCATTGTAAGACCATATCTATGGAATCTCACAAGGGATTCTCCATTAACAGTAGTGCTATACTCACACATGCACAAGAGCACAGCACTGACGTGGGCTCCTGGTGGATGTAGTGCCAGAGGCTGAAGAAAGAAGATGGCGGTGCCTGTGGGGGCAGCTTTAGGTAATTACATCTAACCAAGCAAAGTATGCAAAGAAAGTGACCGTCCCTTTAAAGAGGGGTGAGAAAAAACAAACTAGGTGGATGGAGCTGTTTGGACATGTCAAAACATAAATAAATGACAGCCACTTCACATAAAATATTGCAAACAAAGAACTACAAAAAACATCAAATATGTGTTACAGCAAGTAAAAGTAAATTCACTGTCCATTATCTGTCCACTTTTTTGTAGTTCTTGGCCGTGGAATTTAGTCATGTTGTCTATGAAATAATCAGCAACTTGAAATTGTCAGTCATCTGGGATACCTGGCAAATTAATAAATAAATAAATTCCCCTTTTTATTTAGGAAACCTCAACATATTCCTACGTAACAAAATATAAGAAAATTATGACAAATTTTAGGTTATGAGAATAGGACCTCACTCAAATGAGCTTACAATGGAAATGTTGATGCTGTCATGCTATATATTGACGTTGTTTAGAGAAAACTAAATGTCTAAATTACCTTTTTGCTTATTTTATGGAAGTGGCAATTATGAAATCTTTGTGGATATTCTTGAAAATAGTTCTTGTCACATGTTCATCCTCACCTTGTGGTGTTTGTAATGGCCAATGCCTTTCTGGCATTAACGGAGGTGGTGTTCAGCAGCCCTGTGCCGGTGTATCTGACTCCTGCGGCATGTTGAAGGACGCCAGCCGCTACTGATCCATTCCAATTTGTAACCCTACGTCCGCCCACGGTATTGACGGCGTGCTTGTGATGTCACGCAAAGGACGCGCACGCACGTTCTGGGGTCAAAGGCCGGGTATAGGCTAATGGATCTGAAGGAGACTTATTTAAACTCCCTTTTCTTTTTCTTCATTGCCCTGTCGTGGTTTCTCTTAGTAGGTTATCCGAGAGTGTTTCTGAGCGTTTATTTTTTGTTATTGACTTTGACTTAATTTGACTTCCCTGTATTCTTGACTTTTGGCTTTCCCTCATTGTTGTCTCATTTTGTGTCCCCGACCTCGACAAGCATTCTGACTATTCACTGCTATGTTTAGTCCGGCCATTCTAAGACCTGGTAAGACATTACCTTTAGTCCTAGGTGTGAAAAAGTTTTGCGTGCTGGATCAACTAGTATTCTGACAGTTCTATATTGAATTTGCTTGCGGTTTTCAGTTTCTGATTGGACACCGCTACTCTACTTGGAAAAGAACTAAAAATATACAGGGTGACCTTTTCTGGATCATTTGCAAAATTCAATAGCTGTGATTCTTGTTCAGTGCTTCTTCAAATGAAACTTACACAAAATTGTGCTCACTGGGAGATTGTCGTATTTTATTTCATAACTGTTAATAATTTTATGTTAAAACAATAGACTTCTCATTCCTTTTTTTTATTTTGTTTTGTTTTCCTGCCTTTACTGTTCCTCCAACGTCTTTCTGCTCTTTGCTCCTCCCACAGCAAATAGTACATGATCATCCCTGTATCCGTGCTACATTTTTTATTTTATTTTTTTACAGAATTGTTTAAAAAAAATTATACAACAAACTTTTCTCTATAAGACATGCTGAATCATAATGTCCTTAAAGGACCGCTATAGGCACCCAGACCACTTCAGCTTAATGAAGTGGTCTGGGTGCCAGGTCTAGCTCGTTAACCCTGTCTGCTGTAAGCATAGCAGTTTCAGAGAAACTGCTATGTTTACATTTGTATTAATCCAGCCTCTAGTGGCTGTCTCATTGACAGTTGCTAGAGGCGTGTCCGCTCTTCTCACTGTGATTTTCAGTGAGAAGACGCCAGTGTCCATAGGAAAGCATTGAGAAATGCTTTCCTATGGACTGACTGCGCACGCAGCTCTTGCCACGCATGCGCATTCAGCGTATGACGTCGGAAGAGGGAGGAGAGTCATCAGCTCAGAGGGAGCCCGGCGCAGGAGAAAGGTAAGAATTTAACCCCTTCCTTCCCCTTCAGCTCGGTGGGAGGGGGACCCAGAGGGTGGAGGGACCTAAAGACCCTATAGAACCAGGAAAATGAGTTTGTTTTCCTGGCACTGTAGCGGTCCTTTAATAATGTACCAAAACATATTTCCCACTTTGTTCTTGTACACCACTGTCACAAACTGCAACCATTCAGTTAGAGCGTAGGCACTCAGAGCCAGTTAAGTAGTCCAATCAAAGGCTTGTCTGTGAGAAACCTTTGGCTGGACCTTCACACAGCTCCTGTGATGTCACAAGGAGCTTCACTTGATGCTGGATTCAAGGCAAGTAAAACTTATTGTCACGGCTGCTAGTGTGGTCCAACACGCAGAAACTATGTAAACCAAAAAAAGTGGAGTAACTCTGGAAAGGCCAACCCAATGAAAGTACCCTCGGAGAATGGTTTAGAGCAACAGCTATTTGTAAATGTGCAGCTCTAAACCAGAACCTGAGATTTGTCAATTAAGCATTTGGATATCTCCGTTCTGGCTGCCTGATATCCGTGTTGTACATGTAGAGGCCATATTCTCCACTGCCACAACTTTGGCTGAACTCTTCCTTGCCACATGTCCCGGTTTACTTAACAGTGAACTGACTGTTTGTAAACTGATAAATCATGCTATCCATTTACAGAGAAGAAACATTAAATGTTGTCTATGGGTTGTATGTCAATTAAAATAAACCCTACAGTAACTGCAACTTCAGTTGCCTTATTTACTCCTGCAAACACTATTGAGTGAAGGAACATGTAGAAGTGACAGTTCTACTCTCAGGTGTATGAAAAAATTCATACATTTTCAGTAAACCAAACAAATCTCAAGTTTGTGGCAGGGTTTTTAAGTCTGCCTCCTCCTGAGTTGCATTAATAATGCAATGTCACTCAGACTGGATGGCATTTTTAGGTTGAGAGTACTGGTAACACTGACACCCAACTATGCCATTCACTGCCATTTCAAAAGAGCAGTCTCATGCCCCTCAAGCTAACAGGTGAATGTCTACAGGTAAATTACATGTGTAGAATGTTACAGCAAAATTTTATTTGTTGGAAGAATACATTGACCAGCATCGGACCCTTTCCTTCAGGGCGCGAGACACACACACACTTTTATGTAAGCATACGAACCGTATTTACTAAAAGGATGTGACCTGCTGGTCATATGTCTTTTCTTTAAGCATAGTAAGTGTAGAGGCCTAAAGTGGTTTTAGAACCTGGTATTAAATGGCATAGTCGTAGCCCAGGAGTTACTTTTTTAGTGCTGTTTCCCTTTTCTCATTGTCTCTAAATGACTGCGTGAGAGAGTAATTTGAGAAACCACCATAGAACATTGTGCTTTAGTGACATCTAGTGGATATAATCTAAGCATGTAAACAAATTAAGTACAGTAATTATTAGTAATGTAGAGTTTGTAATATAATGTAACAAATGCAGAGATTATCCACTAAAAGTGAAACAACAATGTAGTTTTAAGATTAAAATAGTAAAATGTAGATGCCAAAAGGACAGAGGCACCATGCTGCACATATATGGTGGCAATGCAGAGAGATCCAACAATTCTGGCAACAAATAGCAAACCTAATCGCCAAATACACAGGCTTCAAGCTACCACTAAAACCAGAAACATACCTACTTCTCTTACTGCCACAGACACCACACAAACATCAGAAATATCTCATCTACCACATCATCGTAGCCGCGCTAACTAGTATCAGTAGGAACTGGAAACAAACTACCTCCCCCACGATCACCCAATGTACCGCACTCATAGACAGCAACAAATCATATGAAATCATGGCCAGGAACACACGACACCCCCCATACTGGCTCAGTGTGGGAAATGTGGGGCAAAAACAAATCAACCCCATGAAGAGCACAGGCACACTTCACAATATAGATCTACACCTCTCTGAGTAGAGGTCAAACAACGTCCCACCCGTGGCATCCTGGTTTTAGGGGATATTCCCTATTTCTTCTGGATCTGTTAATCAGAATAAGTTGAGCCATTAAACTGTCTGTGCCACTGGAGCATACCGGTAAAGCCCACTCCCTTGCAGAAAATGGGAGCTCGTCAGAGGAGATATTTTGATTACCCCAGACAAAAGACCCCACCTATACTTTGTGTCAGGTCATTTCTTTGTCAACCTAGAGCAATAGTAGGCAACCTTTTGGCATTCCAGATGTTGTGGACTACATTTCCTGTGATGCTTTGCCAGTATTATGGTAGTGTCAGCATTATGGGAGATATAGTACCCAACATTTGGAGTGCCGATGGTTGCTTGACCTAGAGTGTAAATTTGTTGAGCTCTGTGCTTTGTATTTTGTATAAATTATGGTCATTTCAGCAGCACAATTTTTAAACCATACATGCTCTATTGCTTCCCATGAATGTTTTCGTTTTCCTTAAAAATCAGGGGAATGATTTTAATTGTAATTAATTCCCTTTGTAAATTATAGCGGGAAAGATAAAAAAAAAGAAAAAAAGAAAAAACTTTTCTGCTTAGGAACACCTCTAGTGATTGTGAAGCTTCCAACTGGAGAGTCTATTCCTGATGAAGAGGTCTATTAAAGTGACACTATAGTCACCAGAACAACTATAGCTTATAGTAGTTGTTCTGTTGTGTATAGCCTGTCACTGCAGGCTTAAACTCTGCCTTTTCAGAGAACAACTTCTTGACACTACTGCCCAAGGACACCTCCAGGCAGCCACTAGAGGTGCTTCCTGGATCAGTGTGCAGCACGGACATTCAGCATTCCCACGCTCTGTGTGGAGGTGCCGAACGTTTCCTAGATAGATGCATTGGAAAAATTCATATGGGGAAGCATTGCATTGACTGAGATTGTCAAGTTTGATCTTAGCCAAGGAGATGGTGCTGAAATAAAGATACGTTTAAATACCTTTTATTTTACTAGCAGGGGATCTAAATTTCGCTCTTAGAACTATGGTGTTAAGAATACATGTTTGTATTCCTGACACTACAGTGTTCCTTTAAAGGGACACTATAGTAACCAGAATGACTACAGCTTATTGCATTTGTTCTGGTGAGTAGAATCATTACCTTCATGCTTTTGGCTGTAAATACTGTCTTTTTCAAAGAAAATGCAGTGTTTACATTACAGCCTAGTGATAATTACACTGGCCACTCCTTAGATGGCTGCTAAAGCTGCTTCCTTGGGCAGTGCTGCAGAGTAAGCAGCACTGTCATTCAGTGTCTCCACCCTCCGCATGCAGACACTGAACTTTCCTCATAGAGATGCATTGATTCAATTAATCTCTATGAGGAGATGCTGATTGGCCAGGCCTGTGTTTTGACTTTTGCGGGCTCTGCCCCTGATCTGCCTCCTTGACAGTCTCAGCCACTCCTATGGGAAAGCACTGTGATTGGCTCAGACCACCACTTCTGATGATGTCAGCAGACTGAGGCGCTTCACAGGCAAACTGTGGCAGAGCCAGGAGCTGCAGACTTGAATACAAGTAAGAGTTTAGTGTATTTGGGGAGGCAAGATGGGGCCAGGGGGGATAGATGGTGGTGGTCAGGAATACATGTTTGTGTTCCTGACCCTATAGTGCTCCTTTAAGTTTTTAAGCTGCAGTAGCTTGGTCTTCCAGCAGGGTTGGCTCATCTGTCATTCTTTTGATGTTGAGAAAATGGGTGCTATTAAAACTACACTGACCACAAGATGTATATTTGAATGCTTTTCTTAATTTAAAAAAAAATTATTATTATTATTATTAATATTGTGTTACCATACCATCACTGTATCTAAAATAACTTGAAACAGAAACTTAAGGTGTTATGGAAAAAGTTTCACACGTTTATCACAGTCTTGCGGCTTGTACAATGGTTAGATAGTTTACTAAATTATTCTGTCACTACACTAATACTTTAAAATTAAGTTCATTTTATAGGTTGTTGTTTATAGTATTTAATTACTAATATTATTCTTTTATACTTTCTGCAGGAGTCCAGCTGTTTCTCAGATGCAATGCAGTCCTTCCGGGAGCAAAGCAATTATCATGGCAGTCAGCAGACATATCCCCCTGAAGCTCACGGATCATCGAGATTGGAAGAATATAGCCCACGACAGCAAGCTCAGATTTTCCAGAGTAGCTTTGGAGGACGACGAGGAGGAGCAGGGACTCCTGTGGCAATCCCACCTGGGGAGAATGCCAACCTGCAGAATTATCAGGCATATCGCAAAGAATCAGGTGACTTCTACTACCTAAGTAGCAAAGAAGGAGCCCCTTCTGGGAGCCAGACACCACAGCGTCGGCCAGCTGGGCCTGTCCAGAGTTATGGTCCTCCACAAGGAAACAGTAGTGGCAGCAGTAGTAGCAGTACCACAGGGTTTGGAACTCACTATGGTAGAGAAGTACATCACAGCCAGTTTGCAGGCCAACATCCAGCATCAGGGACCCTGTCCCAGTATTCACAAGAATTTACAGGATCTTTTTCTCCTTCTGGAGGCCAATACCCAACACATGTTTCCAGTCAACAGCTAAGACATCAGATTTATCAGTCACATCAACCTCTTTCACAAACTGGCAATCCACCTGCAACTGCAGGCACTCCACATCTGCAGCAGGTGCAACGCTCTGCAAATATCAGCTCTCCCACTGGATATCAGTTACGTATGGGACAGTTTGGACAACACTACCAGACCTCTTCAAGTTCATCTTCCAGCTCCTTCCCTAATGCTCAAAGATTTGGACAGTCTGGGGCAGGATATGAGGGTTATAGTCCTGGAGGCACCAATTCTCCATATGAGAGCCACATCCCTGGGTCACAATATAGTACACAACAAGCGTATAGCAGTTATACCAGTCAGCACTTAAAAGGTTTTGAGGCTTCTAAAGTGCCTCAGAGTGTAGGAGGACAACAGCAACAACCTCCTCATATCATGCAGTACTCAAACACCTCCAAAATACCTTTACAAAGCCAAGGTGGCCAATACACCCAGTCAGAGGTTCCTGTGCGATCTCCTATGCAGTTTCAGCAAAATTTTAGTCCAATTTCTAACCCATCTCCAGCAGCTTCAGTAGTGCAATCACCTAGCTGCAGTTCCACACCATCACCTTTGATGACCAGTGGGGATAATATCCAGTGTAGTCAAGGCAGTGTTCCACTTTCATCCAGAAACCGTATATTGCAAATGATGCCACAGCTGAGTCCTAATCCCAATGCAGGAGGATTCAAAAGCTTTGGAGTAGAAGGAACCTCTGATAAGCGATTGTCAGATCCGGGTTTGAGCAGTCTTAGTGCTCTAAGTAGCCAAGTAGCCAATTTGCCCAACACAGTTCAGCACATGCTTCTTTCTGATGCCTTGGTACCTCACAAGAAGAGCAGCAAGCGAACATCAAGAAAAACAGACAGCTGTGCCAACTCAGAAACTTCTTCCCAAGCTGAGGAGCATCTAAAATCTCCTTTGGCAGAGTCCTTGGATGGCAGCTGCTCTAGTAGTTCTGGAGATCCAGGTGAAAGAGTGAGGCAACTCAGCGGTCAAAGTACTAGCTCAGAAACTGGATATAAAGCACCATCTGCAGAAAAACTACCTTCACCTGTTCAAGTGTGGCAAAAGGAGCCTCCAGCTAAAACACCAGTTCAAGAAATGGAAAATGATCCTGAAACTACAGAGGGATTTACAGAAGTTTCCAAGCCAAACGAAAAGACTGTGGGTGTTATAGTTTCTATGGAAACAGTGGCAAATAGATCTGAAAAGACAGTTGATGATATTCCAACTCCTCCCAATGATGATGTTGAAACTGTATTGGAGAATGAGGTTCCTGAAATAAGTAAAGATGAAAATGTTAGTGATTGTACTACAAGCCAAAATGGAGACCAGAACGTTGCTGATTCTAATGCACTATCTAATACACCAGCTGTTGGTCCACAAGCAGACGATTCTAAATCTCCTATAGGGTCTGGATACAACGTAAAGGAAGGATCCACAGGATCTAGAAATGCTAGCAACTTGCCACAAAATCTCAAAAACATAGATTCTGTAAGCTTTAGTGGGCAGTGTGACCGTAAACCAGGTACAGGCAGAAGTGAAAAATTCCCCAGTCTTTTGCAGGAGGTCCTACAAGGACACCATCAGCAGGAGAGAAGGTATGCAAGAAGTACACAAGAGCCTCTAGCAGTAACTACAAATGCAGAAGTGTCCTTAAGGCCAAATATACTCATGAGTCAAACAAATGAGCTACCAAACCGCAGTATCCTTGGCAAGACACTAGCTCCTCAGTTAGAAACTCCGCATTGGGGCCCATGGGATAGAAAGTCAGCACCTGATGTTAAACAGATAAACCTGGCTGATTATCCTGTAACCAGAAAATTTGATGTGGAGTCATCGGGATCCTGTCATGAATCAGTGCCCTCTGAAAGAAGGTCTGTTATCTGTGATATCTCGCCGCTGAGGCAACTAGTGAGAGACTCCACTACAGCTCACCATGTTGGCACTGGTCAAGAGAGACCAGACGGTAGACCTGGGCAGTCTGTAATTTTACCAAGTGGAATAATTTCTTTGGATGTTAAATCAAGCACCCAAGTTGGAACACCTAAAATGGAAGATCTTGATACATCAAAAATGAACAGAAAACGAACTGGAGATCACTGCCTGCCATACAGCACCAAAGATTCTGCTAGGAGCAAAGAATCTGCCAGTCCAAGATCCATGACCTATGATCCCAATCAGGAATATAGTTCACAGAGCCGGACCACGCACTCAAGAAGGGGAACTGGGAGAGTAGGGTCCCGAGGGAGGTCACCTGCACACTCTCAGGACCTGGGTGACAAACTTAAATTGTCTCCAGGAAGAAGTAGAGGTCCAGCAGATGTGCATCATGTAAATCCAACAATGAGTTTTTCAGAGAGAGCAAGCAGAGAAGCCTTCTACTCTGCTTTCTTCCAGAATACAGATAGCACTTCTATTGGTTATCATACAAACTCCAGATCAAGCGCTTATGGGGAGCCTCACCCAGCCTTCACTTCTCCCCTGCACTACAAGAGACAAATGTATCCACAGGAGGAATATAAGGAGTGGCTTGGAAATTCTGCACAAGCTATCCTTTCTGCTTCTCAACATCGTCAGGAAATGCAGCGTAAAAGCCCTAGACAAGAGCCATTTCATGTACGTAGTCCTGGTAGGAGTGAGAATGAAGGGATAAATTACAACCAGACTGTTTCATATCATGATCACAGTAACGTGGACTTTAATCGTTCACTTCGTATGGGTGAAGGAGGAACCAACAGTATGGCAACATTAGATCTAAAACGCAGTAGTCAAAAGACTCCACAAGGTGAGAATTCAAACTGGAACCTGACTCGACAAGCGTCGCCAGTCAAGAAAATTGGATCACCTACAGGAGCAAGTCAAAAGCCTTTTAGTCCTATTAGGGAAACTGATTCTCACGGATCCAGACCAGGAGATTCTGCTGATACATCCAAAACTGGATGTAATGCTCCTCGACCATTGGGACCTGATGAACAATCACACCAAAATCCTCTAATTATGAGGAGAAGAGTGCGTTCTTTTATCTCCCCAATTCCCAGCAAAAGGCAGTTGGCTGATGATAAAGGTCGTCCTCCTTCATGTCCTTCAAAAGAAGCATGTGACAAAACTGCTATCACTCATGTGTTCTCTTCAAGGGTGAAAGAGAGTGAGTTTTCTCCTGTGACTGAAGAGCTAGCCAAAAGCAGCACTGAAGAGAGGAGTCCACCAGCTGTGTCACTTTCAAGCCCAACAAAGACCAAAATCCTTCCTCCACGAAAAGGAAGAGGACTAAAATTGGAAGCCATAGTACAGAAGATCACTTCACCGAATGTTCGAAGGACTTCTGCTCCAAGTAGTGCAGATTGTGCGGTTGAATCTGTAACACTTGATGATATTCTTTCACTTAAGAGCAAATTTCCAGAAGGTGGAAGTGGATCACTTCAGGAACCAAATGAACGTTTAGATGAAGTGATTCTCGGTGTTCCCTGTACTGAAGACACAAAAGTCAAGGGTCTCTCTCCCAAGTCCATTGAGGCTTGGATTATCCAGGATGACAAAAAGATTAAAAAAGAAACTGATGACCAGTTCATGGAAACCAAAGACTTTATACAGTCTGGAGCACCAATACCACAAGATACAAACCATTATATTGAGGATATAGGTTCATCTCAACCTTTAGAACAGAAATGTTCTCTGCCCTTAATACAGCAGCATGTCGTTCCAGATCAGCAAAATATGGCTTCTACGCCTTGTCCTGTAACCCCAAAACAAGAACTTACACCACCGAAAGGCTACTTCCCATCTGGAAAAAAGAAAGGACGTCCCATTGGTAGTGTTAATAAGCAAAAAAAGCAGCAACAGCAGCAGCAGCAGCAGCAACAACAACAACAACCGTTATTACAAGAACTAGTGCCAGCAGCCCCTGCCACATTGTCTTTGCCTTTGAGTTCTCCCTTGCAACCGCAGACTATATTGGAGCAGGGTGCAGAGGCAGAACCCAAACCGAAAAGGAGGAGAAGAGAAGGAAGGAAGCCTGCTGGCACACCAAGGAGAAGAAGGGGAAAGCAATCAGCACCCATAGTTGTTCCCATAGAACCTGAGATTAAGCTGAAATATGCCAGTCAAACAGTAGACAAAAGTGAAACTAAAGCAAAATCTTTTTTCCCTTACATTCATGTGGAAAATAAAGAAGAGCTAGGCTTGGCATGTGTAATAATTAATGCAGAAGAGGAGGAGCAGCGTTGGAAAAAACTGACCTCTACACGCAAGGGTCAAAGGGCAACATCGCCACAACCCAGCAGTGAAAGCAAAGCACTCCCTGCCTCAAGTTTCATGGTTCAAGGGCCAGCAGTTACAGAGTCTACATCTATGGGTCCTCTTGTTTGCTGCTTTTGTGGGAAGTGGGCTAACTACAGGAACCTTGGAGACTTGTTTGGTCCTTTCTATACTCAAGAATTTGCTTCAACCCTATCAAAAAATCCACCACCCAAAAAAACATCAGAAATTCCCAGCACAGTCAAGGTTCGGCACAAAGACACATCAGATGGTTCCAAGACAGATTCCGAGGAAGAAGAGGAAGAGGAACCGCAACAGGCACGTGAACAACGAAGCTTATCTTCTCACCCTCGCTATAAAAGACGGAATCGTTCAGGAGATTGTGCTTCCTCCAGACTTTCACTACCTTCTTGTCGTAAGATTTCTGACCCTTGTGAACTGACCTCTGTTGACTCTAGTGTTGCAGCCCCCACAGCAGATGGACTCCCTGAGCAAGGGTTTCAGGTTCCCCAACTACCTCTCGACAGCAATGAATTCTGGATGCACGAGGGGTGTGTCCTATGGGCCAGTGGTGTCTACTTTGTTTGTGGCCGGTTATACGGTTTACAGGAAGCTATTGACATTGCTAGAGATATGGTGAGTAAATCGTGACTATGAAATGTTTTTACAATAATTCATATAATGAATTTTCAAAGTTACACTGTACCTCATAACATATTAATAAATAAATAGCTAGGCTTTGTTGGGGGAAAGTATATCCTACCTCTAGTACTGGCAACATTTTGTGTTACATAGTTGCCTGCAGCATTATCATTTCAAGATCTATATTGAATTGTATTAAAAATATCTTAATGTGGAACTTTCACTAGTGAGGTCTATGCATTTATTTATTGATTGTTTTATTTACTTAACTGTCCCGTCTCCATTGTGACATCATCTTATTCAACCAGGTCTCTAGCTTGTTACCTGTTACATTTGCCAAGAGCTGTGTCAGTGGTGTACTTTAGTGCATGTTCAAGAATACAAAATGAGGGTGCATGGTTAAGACAGTGTGTTCTAAACATGATATTGCCATTGAGCATTAATAGGACTTGTCTTCTGTACAAGAAAGTGTTTGTGCCCATATGTTTGCCCTTTGCCACATTTTTGCCATAAAACCATGTAAGTCCCTACTTTTTTATGGTAACCTATGATAACCTTGACATTCCAAAAGTGTTTTTTTTTTTTTTTTTTACACCAAGATTATATAGTTATGAAATCTCAAGTGATCGTAAAGCACTTCCGCTTCTGTTTTATGAATCTGGAGCCTGTCAAATATGCAACTGTTGATAAAAGTGTAGATTTTAAATAGAAATAAACACTTTTGTAAAACTTTGCCTAAATGCCTCCCCAGCTGGTAATCAGGCAGCTTTGCGTGTATTCTTACATATTCGTAAACTAGCGGAAGTGGCGCGCAAGATAGGCTAGTAGGTGCCTGCCTCCACCCTTCTCAGTGATCTGTTCTAGAGCTCAATAATAAGTATAGGAAAGCTGCGATCACACACACGCAGCTCCAGCACTGAGGCTTTTTCGATGATCAGCCTCTGATTGGGGTTTTCCTGGCACCTACTGAAAGTCTGTGACGAGGAAAGAGAGGAGGGCTAATAAAAACTGCAGGCAGCAGGCCTGCAGCTTATGCAAGCTGTGTCTTCATATAAAAAAAATAAACAATACATGCATGTTTTCTTTGGGGTAGATCTACTAAAATCTGTGCTGGGGAGACCATAGAGACTGTTGGTTTTCAAACACTGTCCAACCAAATGTTGGATTCTGGATTCTACTATGCTCCTAGCATTCTGTCTTTTAATATTGTTAGGGATGAGTGTGTTTTTTTTTTTCATTTTTACAAATACTTGATTTGAAAATATTTTCTTTCACTACTTAATGAAAGGATTATCCTAAAAATATTTTTGAGATAATTGTCCCTTTAATCATATCCTTATTCATACCTTCAGCAGCTCTAAGATACCAAATCAATTGTACACTTGTTGAAAAGTTGCATACTATATGATTAAAATTGACCACAAGGAATTAAAATGCTTTACCCAATTACTCAAAAAAAAAAAAATTAAAATACTTGGCTTGCTACGAACATCTACTATCTAAAATATCTAATTCATTCAGAGGCCCTGAATGTGTTAAGTAATTATGAATCTATTATCTTATATTATATAAAGGGACACTATAGTCACCCAGATCACTTCATCTTAATGAAATGGTCTGGGTGCAGTGACCCTGTCTTTTTAACTTTCCAATGTAAAACATAGTTTTGTAGAAACTGCAATGTTTACATTTCAGCATTAAATCCATATCTTCTGACTGTCTAGAGTTGCTTTTGCAGTAGAGGACTGAGCCAAGTATAAATACAAAATATGCGCCTTATTCTACCCCAGGGCTTCGGAGGTGCTCTTTGAATGTTAATTTGTATTTCAAATTAAAGTGTACCTGTCGTGCCAGGTACAACTCATGCTATTTTTTGCTGAATATAACAGTGACAGAAGCAGACAGATGTCAAACATAAAATACAAAAATATGGCATTTCAAATTGAACACAGTTCTGTTTTGTTTTTGTTTTAGAGGTGGGAAAACTAAACTGCTGTCCAAGGTGATACACACCAATTTGCTCAGTCAAGAAAAATACCTTATACCAGTGGTTCCTAAACGTTTTAGGTCCAAGGTGCCATTAATATTTCAATATTTTTCCAAGGCACTCAAATTCTAAATTTCTAGGTTGTAGATCTGTACAGCGCCGCAGCAATTACTGGTGCTATAGTGTAATGTGCAGTGTTTGTGTTTGAAGGGGTGCTTGTATATAGTTTGTGTTTTAATACAGGGGTCTGTTTGTGTGTAATGTTTGCGTTTTATTGCAGGGGTGTGTCTGAATGTAATGTTCACTTTTAAATGCGGATGTACATTTGTGTGACGTTTTTGTGTTTGAGTAAAGGTGTGTGTTTGTATATTTTTTGGGGGGGTTTGTATGTAATATGTGTTAGATTGCAGGAGTGTGCTTGTATCTTGTGCCGGTGTTTGACTGCTTGAATGTATGCACATACACTACCATATACATACAAACGTATACAGATATTCATGCACATTACCACACAGATACGTATAAATACACCGACACATACATACATAGATACAGACTGACATATATACACACACGCGCGCGCACACGGATATACATATTTGTTTGTGTAGTGTCTGTATTTCTGTAGGTGTGTAATTTGGAAGGAGGGGGCATTTTTTATTTAGCTTTTAAAAAACTATTTATTTTTTGTCCCCTTGTTACCTGGCCAGGGAGGGGGGGATATGGTATTCGCTGGTGGTCCGGTGGCAACGACTCCGCTGAGGGGTTCGCAGCAAGCTCTTACCTTCCCAACAGCTCCCCTGTCTAACTCTCGCGACCAGCATGCTGCGCGGAGCGTTGCCATGGTAACCCGTGGGACTCGTGAGATTTACACAGGGGAGCTGCTGGGAAGGTAAGTAAGAGTTTGCTGTGGGCCCTCCAAGGTCATGGGCCCGGCGGTCCTGGTATGTATTATCGGCAATATCGGTATCTCTATAGGCCAATACCGATATTGCCGAAAATACAGAATATCGTCCAGACCGATAATCGGTCGATCCCTACTAGATAATAACATAACACCGCAAGTTTCCACATCTGTAACCAGCTAGTATGTATTTAAATACAATACAACACAACATTGGTTGCCAAAATAAATATTGCTGTTAAACCGTAGGTTCTCTGACCTTATTTTTGGATAAGGTATAATGCAACCTATGTCTACCATTTTTTCAGATTGCAAGTAATTTTGACTGGCAATTCATTTTATAGGAATTTTTTTGATGGCATTAAGCAATGGAGAAGCAACAATTTGTAATACATCTTTGTTCATTAACCCAACTTAAGATAACTGATGTATGTGGCCAAGTATGGTAGGTTGGATGTGGCAGGTAGAGCAGGAAATGATATGATGTGTATGGTAGGCAGTTTGTTTGTATAAATAATTTAGACCACACAATAAACACTCATTTTATGAACTTTTCAATGGATTAAGGATAAAGGGCCGATGTCCCTCTGCCCAGTTCTCTGGAACTGCAATGTTTTACAGGGACACAGCACCCTGACCACTTCATTGAGCTCAAGTGCTCTGGGTGCTTACAGTGTCCCTTTAATGTAAAGCTTATGGGGCTTACTACTATAGATTAGATTATATCATTAAATAAATAAAGTTTAACCTTTTATGTAAAATTTAAGTTTATTAACTACCATATTGCCTTAGATGACCTGACAGCCTTTTATTTAATACCATCCTTCCTCAGAACTTAAAGGTCCACTAGAGTGCCAGGAAACTCTATAGGGTTATTAGGTGTACCCCCCCAGCCCCCCTCGGAGCCTGCCTCCTGCTGGGATGAAGGGGTTAAAACCACTTCAGCCACTTACCTTAATACAGCGCCGGGCTCCCTCGGCACTGGTGACCTCTCCTCTATCTGCCGATGTCAGCTCCGAATGCACATGCGCGGCCAGAGATGCGCGCGCATTCAAACTACTCATAGGAAAGCATTACTCAATGCTTTCCTATGGACGTCCAGCGTGAGTTCACTGTGATTTTCACATTGAGGATCGCAGAAGCGGCCTCTAGTGGCTGTCAGGGAGACAGCCACTAGAGGCTGGATTAACCCTCAATGTAAACATAGCAGTTTCTCTGAAACTGCTATGTTTTCAACTACAAGGTTAAAACTAGGGGACCTTGCACCCAAACCACATTGAGCCTAAGTGGTCTGGGTGCCTATAGTGGATTTTAACCCCTTTAACCCTGTGGATGATTTTGCCTCCAATTCTTAGCAACAATAAAATAAATGAAGGGAAGAAGGGCGGGGGTATGTGCGCGCTTGTTATTGATTCGCACTCCTGCAATCTATCCACTCTTAGTTTCTAGCGCTTTTTTTTGCTGATGACCTGCACCTGATCCCAGAGCAGCTACTGTCCCTAGCAACAACAATGTCATCTTCTGCCAAGATACCTGTCTAACTAACAAAATTCTAAAACTTTCCTACATTCTGATTCAAGGCATTTATTTTAGTGATATTGCTTCCATGCCTATTGGATAACATTGGGGTGGGGTTATTTTTTTACTGCCATTCATATAGCACTAACTTATTCCGCAACGCTTTGCAGTTTTATATAAGGTGATTTATAAGTTTCAAGGATAAATCCTCCTTTAATTATGTTCAGGAGAACCCAAATCAATTCAAGCGCTTGGAGAAGCAATAAGGCACACGACAAGTGATAGCTTTGAATCCAGAAGAATTGCTTCTAGCTTTAATTGGGGGAGATCATCTTGTAAATACAATGTAAGAAGAGGCATATTTCTAAATGTCAAAAGATATAAATAATAATAAGCAGTTTACAGAAGTACTCCAGTGGGGGCTAGTTTTTGTAAGAAAGAGAACTTAAAGTTAATTTACACATAAAGCATATCATGATCCAAGTTAGCCAATTTTAATAGACTGGACCAATTGGCATCGGTAGCTTGAGCCTTGGAATCAAGGTGCATTCCTTCACATAAGCAAATGAACCAAACTACTACAAATGTTGACTTGTTTAAGAGGTAAATGAGGATTCTGCTTGATTGAGTTTACATTCCACAAGGTCCACTAAATTAGCCACCAAATCTACTTGGTGGCTCAAGTTCTTAAATGAATCTCAAGACCGGTTGTTACAATGCCTCATGATTTAAAAAAAAAAAAAGAGAAAATTTTTAGTTCTAAAAAAATAAATTAAAAAATAACCATACAATGTGAAATACAGTTTCATCTACAACAGTTTACCAGATGCCTCTAAAATGAAAGGTTCATGAGTTTTTTCTTTTGTGCGTTTTTTTTTTTTTTTTTTTCTCCACTCATTATTATAGTGGCTACAACTCTGTGGAATCTTTTAGCCCCTCCTCCGACATTACTTTCAATAATAACATACATGCAAATTTATGTAATTGGACCAAAGCTGATGAGGCTTTGACTCACTGTTGTACTCTTGATTGCCCTGGGTACACTCTTTGAACTACCATGGTGGAGCACCCTAACCATATAAATGTATTTAGTTTCAGTTGTGCAGGCAACCATAGTGCTTTCCACACTCCTGTGTTTAGTCGGGGTTCCTGAAGCATTCTTTATATAACACCCTCATCCCTTTCTGAGTTTGGTACACCACACTGCTACAAGGAAAGCTGTGACCGTATACTTCTGGTGTAGTCTGGAGACTGGCAACTTCCTTGCAACTTATGTGAGTGACTCTGGGATATCCTTTGATCTCTTCAGACCTTTGCTTGGCAGTAGGGTAACAGTAAGAATGCAAGTATCCCATTATTGGGTTTGCATGGATTTTTGAGACCTTTGTTCTACAGAGGACGCATTTGCTTTTATTGGCCATTTGGAGCATCCCATTCCTCAGGATTAGCAGCAGTTGTTTGAATGTTTTATATCACAAGCTTGATGCCAAACCACTTCATTTCCATTTGTAAATTACAAATTGTCATAAGCTTATTATTAATTTGATTGATCTTGTTGAACTATATTCATTAAAAAAAATAAAAAATAAATGTAAGTGTTATATTATTCATATCTTTCTTTTTCTTAGAAATGTAGTCACTGCCAGGAGACTGGTGCCACCCTGGGCTGCTACAACAAGGGTTGTGCTTGCTGCTATCATTTTCCATGTGCCATGGATTCAGGTAAGAAAATTTCAGATTACTGTAGCGTCTTTTTCCATAGGCATCAAAGTAGAGATTCAATTTGTGATAGTCAAGTGGTAAATTGACATAGATGCTAGTTATGTCCCATTAACTTTATAGACTCCTTAAAGGGACACAGGTACCCAGACTACTTCAGCCCATTGAAGTGGTCTGGGTGCCAACTCCCATCACCTTAACCCTGCAAGTGTAAAAACTGCAATAATTACCTTGCAGGGTTGAGCCCTCCTCTAGTGGCTGTTTACCAGACATCCACTAGATGGACTTCCAGGCTCTTAGACAACTTCTGGTCATCTAAACGATGCTGGATGTCCTCAAGCTATGCATGAGGACCTCCAGCGTCACTGGAATCCTCATAGGAAAGGAATGAATAATGCTTTCCTATAGGGAGATCCTAATGCAGCCGCGGCCATTGCCTCTCATGCGCATTAGGTCTCCCCTGTTGGCGGGGGAGGAGCACAGGCGGTGCCTGACCAAGCGCAGAGGGACATCGGTGCTAGATTCAGGTAAGTGACTGAAGTGGTTTAAACCCCCTCATTAGAATGCGGGAGGGAGGGAGGACTGTTTTCCTGGCACTACAGAATCCCTTTGGTGGTTTGGTTATTCAGTTACGGTCAGTGTTAAAGTATAAATTCAGTTAAAGGATCACTATAGTGTCAGGAAAACAAACTCATTTTCCTGACACTAACATCCTTAGGTCCCCCCACCCTCAGGGTCCCCCTCCCTTGGCGCTAAAGGGGTTAAAACACCTTCAGCCACTTACCTTTATCCAGCGCCGGGCTCCCTCGGCGCTGGTGACCTCTCCTCCCCCGCCGACATCAGCTCCCGAGTGGAGCGGAATGCGCATGCATGGCAAGAGCTGCGTGCGAATTCAAACAGTCCATAGTAAAGCATTTCTCAATGCTTTCCTATGGACGTTCTGCACGCTGGATGCAAACTTCGCATCCAGCATCGCAGATGCGCCTCTAGCAGCTGTCAGGAAGACAGCCGCTAGAGGTTGGATTAACCCTGCAATGTAAACATAGCTGCTTCTCTGAAACGGCTATGTTTACATCTGAAGGGTTAAAACCTGGGGGTCCTGGCACCCAGACCACTTCGTTGAGCTAAAGTGGTCTGGGTGACTATAGTGTCCCTTTAATGCAATTTTACTTTCTATTGCTGCATCTGCAAATAGGGTTGTTGAATTTTCATCACTATTAAAAAGTTGTGGACATATGATTTTTATTTGCTAGACACCGAACTGTAGTCAATTGTAGTGATGATGGTGGATTTGGATATTTGTTTTTCCAAAATGATCTGATTTGCTAAAGTTTTCAATTTGCTCATTCTACTGCAATTCAATGTATAGCGAATGAACCCCTAATATCTCCAAAACCGTCACTAGAATAGATCAATGTCTGCACTGAGCCTTTTCAAATGGACCTCAAAAAATTATTCATAATAATAAACTGACCAGCCTACCCTGACACGGTATAGCTGAAATGTAAATAAAAATATTCTCAATGCTTGATTATAATCCTTTAGAGCAATAAGAAAAGAAAAGAAAAAACACATTTGACACTGTAGCATTTTCAATAAGTCCTCAGTCATGCTGTAAGAAATGTACAGTAATTGATCAACCACTCAGGATGCTTAGGCAACTTTCTTTTGCAAGCTTGTGGACTGCAATGGGCAAGGTTTATGGTAAATTTACTATTATAGCACACAATGTAGTATTCCAATGTCGTATCTCATGTATTGAAGAAAAACAAGTGATGTTAAATTCTTGCATAATTTAACTTCATATTTAATGAGAGGTGAGTAGTATCCATGGGAAAAATCTATAACTGATGAAAATTCAGATATAAGTTTTGTAAATCAATGTCTTTAAAGGAACACTATAGTCACCTAAATTACTTTAGCTAAATAAAGCAGTTTTAGTGTATAGATCATTCCCCTGCAATTTCACTGCTCAATTCACTGTCATTTAGGAGTTAAATCACTTTGTTTCTGTTTATGCAGCCCTAGCCACACCTCCCCTGGCTATGATTGACAGAGCCTGTATGAAAAAAGTGGTTTCACTTTCAAACAGATGTAATTTACCTTAAATAATTGTATCTCAATCTCAATTAAATTGAACTTTAATCACATACAGGAGGCTCTTGCAGGGTCTAGCAGGGGGATAAGAAAATCTTAATTAAACAGAACTTGCAAGAAAGAAAGCCTAAATAGGGCTCTCTTTACAGGAAGTGTTTATGGAAGGCTGTGCAAGTCACATGCAGGGAGGTGTGACTAGTTACATAGTTACATAGCTGAAAAAAGACTTGTGTCCATCAAGTTCAGCCTTCCTCACAAATGTTGTTGCTGTTGATCCAAAAGAAGGCAAAAAAACCTGGTCTGGAGCGCTTCCAATTTTGCCACAAACTAGGAAAAAATTCCTTCTTGACCCCAAAATAGCAGTCAGATGTCTCCTTGGATCAAGCAGCTATTACCCCACTAATTAGAAATTATATTCCTGTATGTTATTTTTTTCTAAGTATTTATCCAATTTCAGTTTAAACATCTGTATGGACAAAAACCACCTCTTCAGGCAGAGAATTCCATATCCTTATTGTTCTTACTGTAAAAAACAAAAAAAAAAAAAAACACTTTTCTTTGCCTTAGATGAAATCTCCTTTCTTCCAGCCTAAATGTGTGACCTCGTGTCCTATGTATAGCCCTGTTTATGACTAGATTTCCAGATAAAGGTTTGTACTGACTAGGGTTCATAAACAAAGGGATTTAACTCCTAAATGACAGAGGATTGAGCAGTGAGGCTGCAGGGGGCATGTTCTATACACCAAAACTGCTTCATTAAGCTAAAGTTGCTCAGGTGACTCTAGTGTCCCTTTAAAGTCACCTAGACCACCATATCTCAATAAAGTGGTCTGTGTGCAGTGACCCTCTAGCTTTAGCCCTGCATTGTAAAACATAAATTTTTTTTTTTTTTTTTTTGAAACTGTATTGTTTATACTTTGTAGGGTTAAACACATCTCTAGTGGCTGTCTTCCAGATAGCCATTAGAGGAGCTCCCTCTAAAACAATAGCAATACGAGTGTCTTAGCGCAGGAGAAAAGGTAAGTAAAACACCCCCGGTCACCCTACACATTGGGGATAAGGCACTGATCTGTGTGCACATGGACAGTGGCACTATTGTGTATCCTAACGCTATAGTGTTCCTTTAATGTATTTAAAATTTTAGCAACAGGTTTAAGTTTGAAATCCTTATGTGAACTACAATTCTTAAACTAAAGTATTTTGTACCCTGCTGATGCTCATGTATTTGTATATATTGGTTTTTATACACTTTATTGCATGTACTTCATGTATTGCATGTACTCTTTGTTTCAGAATGTTTACTGAATGAGGAGAACTTCTCTGTACGCTGTCCCAAGCACAAGGTATGAAAATTTACTCTCGTGTTTGAAAACCCATTGTGCTTCAGAATTAAAGGGATTTTCCAGGCTGGAGTTGATTCTCTGCTTAATCAGTGGTAGACTCTACGGACAGAACAGCTGACCTATTCTTGTCTAACAGTGAAGCTGGTTGTTTCTCCATGGTGTAATGGGGAAGATAGCCTTTTCTTACTTCCCGTGCACTGCTAGGTACTGATTCAGACCACATTCCAGAAGGAAGTGATGTCAGTCAGAAGGAGAAAATGGGCTAGAATTAAACCAGCCAGTCTGTATGCCCAAGCTTTTCTTTTGTCCTCTCCTGAAAGACTGAGGAAAAACTTGGGGAACCATGTTACTTTTTTGTTCTGAGACATCTTGGCGCGATGGATTTGTTTATTTATTTTTATTATTATTTTTTTTTGTCTGTGTGTTAAATATTATCCCTCAAAACGATAATATACAATACTATACATTAATAAGCCTATGGTGAGAACAACTAAATGCTTTTTGTGTTTGGGTGTAGCCCTAGTGCACATGACCTCACTCTAACATTGTTTAATTGAGAGAGTATTCCTTACCTTATGAGTGACTGAGGAAGCAGTAGTGTTAGCCCAGAAAGCACACATAAACAGACTAGCCAGCAACCTGCTTTCCCATTGGGATTCTCAATTGTTTATTGCAACCGGATTAGTTCATTCTAGTGAAATTAAACTTTAACACCCCCACTCCCACAACATGTGGTTAACATATTGTGTACAATAACCACTCAAAAATGCATTTGTTCAATTTATTCAGCCTTTAGAGAAATACTGGAGGATACATAGGTTCATGTGTAGTCAAATTTGAATAAAATGGTAAATACACCTAAGATTTAAAAAATAAAATAAAATGCATTCCAGATGTGAAAATGTGTGTGGGCATAATTGTAGTGTGCCTAAAATTAGGTCTCCACTTTCCCTGGCTGCAGGAATAAGGACAATGTATATTGTGCCATATCGGCACTATTGTAAGAAGGGAAATTGGTTGATCTGGTATTCCTAGTTCCTTTGTACTAGACAGAGAGACCGACCTAAGCCCAGGTGCCAGAGATGATTTTGTACGATAAAAAATGTGGGGTTACAAATGTGAGGTTTTAAAACTTAAATTTAGAGGGCCACTTTCCATAGCACCATAATAATTACAGTAAATTGGGATGGTTTTGTAACTGTAGTGTTTTATTTTACTAGTTTCTAATTCACAAACTAATTTGAGCTCAATATTTTATTTAATCAATTTGTGTGGAAATTTAGGAAATTTATGTAAATTTAATTTGGTATAAACCATATTTATGTGCCACCTTCAACAACAAAAATATCTCTGAAATCACATGCCAGATATATGTATGTGTGTGTATGTAATAAACAAATATGTGTATGTGTGTGTGTGTGTGTGTGTGTGTATATATATATGTATATATATATATATATATATTCACACACAGTTTAATTTTTTTTGCTGAAGCTAATGCAGAGCCTTTTTGCAGCAGACAGATGCATGCATTCAATTATGCAATCATTGGTGGAAGATGCACCTTGAAGATTGTGTTTGTTGATGAAAACTTGAGTAGTAAAAATGAACCAGTCCCTTAATGATGTCAGGAAGAGGAATCTAGGCTTGTAGAGAATCAGAGATGACTTGCATTGGTGATTATGGTATATATGGATTTGCATAACACTGGTTTTCCAAACTTTTTGATTTTTATAAAACTCAATACATTTTTTCTTTTTAGTTTGGTGCAATGTTTGTGAATACATATGTTTATTGTGTAGACTTACTTAAGAATGTTGTCATGAGTTTTTACTTGTTGCTTCTTTTAGTCACATAGTGAAGTTCGTATTTCACATTGATTATTCATAAGTGCAGTTTTGCACATCTTAATTTACTTAAATTTTATTGTGTAGTAACTTTTATTTAAGTATTTAACGAAGAATGTACGTTTAGCTTGTCACTATTTCTGAAGTAAAACCAGGGGTCTTCATATTACCCAACTTAATAAATGCTAGCGATCCCAGAAGTATGAAAAGCGTTACTGACCTTGCTCTGGACTAATCAGAGGCTCGGAGTTATCTCATCGGCACTCCCCAGCACTACAGCCTATAATTTTTGTCCAAATTTGGATGGGTTTGTATAGGTAATGCTGATGTGGAATGTCTGCATTAGTCTGTGGCAGTAGTATAGGGTAGAGTTTTTGGTGATGGGAAAGCCCCTGTTTTGTCAAATCTGGCAAACACACTGATCAGCCACAAAAAACACCTTTATAATATTGTGCTGCCAAAACTGCTCTGATGCATTGAGGCATGGACTTAACAAGACCTCTGAGCGTGTCCCCTAGTGTTTGGCAGCAAGACATTAGCAGCAGATCCTTTAAGTCGTGCAAGTTGCGAGGTGGAGCCTCCACGGGTTGGATTTTTTTGTTCCAGCATATCCCACAGATGCTCAGTTGGATTGAGATCAGGAAATTTGTAGGTCAAGGCAACACCTTGTACTCTGTCATGTTCCTCAAACCATACATGAAAATATTTTGCAATGTGGCAGGTTGCATTTTCCTGCTGAAAGAGGTCACTGCCATCAGTGAACACCATACGTGATTGGCAACAATCTCTAGGAAGGTGGTATGTGTCAAAATAATATCCACGTGAATGCTAGGACCCAAGCATAACACTGCCGGCCTGGCTTCTTCCCATAGTGCCATCTCTTTGCCAGGCAAATGACGAGCAAGCACTTACCTGCTTTAAATAGAGAATGTGGTTCCTCAGTCCAGGTAACATTTTTTTCCATTGCTCCTTGTCCAGTTCTGATGCTTACATCCTCCTTGAAGACCCTTTTGGCGGTCGACAGGATTCCTCATGGGAACTCTGAACTGTCTACGTCTGGGCAGTCCCATACTCTGTAAACTGTGGTGCACTGTGTGTTCTGACACCTTTCCATCATGACTAGCAATATGATGTTCAGCAATTTCAGCTACATTAGCTCTTCTGTAATTTGAACCAGACAGGGTAGCCTTTACTCACCACTTGCATCAATGAGCTTTGGACCTTGTGACCATGACACCGATAGAGTTGTTCTTCCTTGCACCACTTTTGGTAGGTACTAAACATTGCATACCAGCAACATCTTACAAGACTTGTCATTTTGGAGAAGCTCTGACAGTCGTCTAGTCCTCACTGCAATATATCACTCTTTGCAATAACAATATAATCAATGTTATTCACTTCCCTTGTCAGTGATTTTAATGTTGTGGCTGATCAGTGTAGCACGATAACGGCTAAGGAAAGCTAGGCAGAGAATTGCCCAGAGCACCTGTCTTGCAAAGAGTACTCACTGAGCTGCATTGGAAAGCCCATAATTGGACAGTCACAGAAAGTCTGGGCCAGGCTAGAAGAGAAGGGCTTGCAATGGTAGCAAATGAGAACTGCAGCTTTTGCAAGCTGTTTAGATATAAATGCATATTTGGAATGTATGCATGTTTTTATTGGGGATATATATCTACTAAACAGTGATATTTATTTTGTATTTGAGCAGTGGAGAGTCTCTTTAATGCAACACTATGACATTCGGAATACAAGCATGTTTTCCTAACACTAAAGTGTTCTACTCCCTGTTTAGATTTATTATACAATCTTATGCTTGTCATAGATATGAGCATTGATTAAAGAACCATTTCTGACTTGGTTACATTATAGTAGCGGAAGCTCCCTGTTGTGGCTGTTAGGAAGACAGCCACTCGAAATCTGTTTAGCTCTGGAATAAAAACATTGCCGTAGTGGCTTTATTTACATTGCAGGGCTAAAATGCCAGGTGGCACTGTATCTGTTATAGGGAAACTCAGAAGCCACGCACAGACAGTCCGGACCCAGGTCAGTTCAGGAAGCAAAGGTGACCCATTCTCCCTGATCGGGTCTCAGCTGAACTCTTGTTCAAAATGTCTGAGCACAAGCTTTTTATAGCTATTCATCCCCCATCTGTACCCTTACACCAGTCAGCAAACCGTATTTACAGCATTACCTTATAAGGATAGGCAGTATGGTACTTGGAGAATGGAATGTGGTTTTTCAAATCCAGCACATGCTCAGTACATTGATGACAGTATCTTAGTTACACGTAATTAACAGATACCTGTACTTGTATATGCCACATGGAGATTTTGGGCCTAACTGAAATCCCATCACCTATCCAGACCACTTCATTGAGATGAATGAAGTCGTCTGAGTGCCAACAGAGTCCATTTAAATGGACACTCTAAGCACCAAAACAACTTTATCTTAATGAAGTGTGTGTTTTTTTTTTTTTTTTTTATAGATTAGGTTCATGGGGTAAGATGGCTTTTGCAGCCCGAGACACTCCTTCCCTGGCTGTGATTTCAACAGCTTCTTATCTACTGCTATGTTAATGCATGCTAGAGCCTATGGAGACTTGTGAGTGGTTAAAGTTCATTTCACAGAGCAGAATATAACTTCTAAAGAAAACATGTTGTGCTGTAAGATCTGACTGAAAATTAAGTTGTTTTTTTTTTTCTTGGAGGCTTGTGAGTCACAGGCAGGTGGTGTTGCTAGGGCTGCATAAACAAACAAAAGAAGTGATGTAACTCCTAAATGACAGAGAATTGAAGATTATACTAGCTTTAGTGTACTAATAATCTTAATTTTAGTAATGACAGGAGGCGAATATTTGCATATCTTTCTTTACTGTAAACTCCAGCAGCATAGAAACAGTAACAACCAATCAGAGAAAAGATATGGTGCCCATAAGAGGCCCTGTCTATGACATCACTTCCTCTTTCTTTGGTGTGAACAGTAAATAACAATAAAACTTAAAACAAATTACAGTAACAGTTCAACAGCATGATGGGGAAAAATAACTCCGGTAGTTCCTTGATGTAACGATGTGGGAGATGAGCCTTTGTCCCGAATAGAAGATGTGTACACTTGTCGAGAAGGCGATCACACTGCAAGACAAGGAAAAGAGTGAAAGGTCTCTGGCGTGATAACTTGTCCGCATATCTTAAAACATAATAATCCTGCCATAACACAAGACTGTCCGAAAGGTTCAAGTAATATACCCGATAAAATTACTGTAATAGGAAGAACTATAGATATACATGATGTACATAGATATAAGGTTACTACATTCCATCCTATACCAACCCCTAAACACTGTTAGGTACGGAATATACTCACCTATGGTACATGTCTTCCTGAACCTATGAGGCCTTCTGTTCCGTTGATGAAATAAAGGGGGGGTCCAATAGGGTGGGAAATATTCGCCTCCTGTCATTACTAAAATTAAGATTATTAGTACACTAAAGCTAGTATAATCTTCAATTTTACCACATGACAGGAGGCTTCATATTTGCATTTTTAAAGCTTGGAATTGATGAGTGTGAAGGAAGCATGAGTTGTTTGACGGAAATAGAAAGTCCTGACCGAATGTGCGCCGAAGTGAGGTTCAACGCCTGCTAACGATAGTAGCCAGCGGACCCATCTAGCCAGTGTAGTCGTGGACACCGGTCCATGAGGCTTCACATAGGAAATCAACAGTTGACCCGTCGAACTGGTTCGAAGGGGAGTTGTGGTTTCCGTATATCTCATAAGCGTCCTGACAACGCATAGTTTGGGATCTGAGCCAAAGTACGGGTACGATATCGAGGTGGAATCCGATTTGGTCCGTCTTGATATGGAAAAAATAACTCCTTCTGGAGTGATGGAGAACCCGTCCACGTCGAATGCTCTAACGTCTGACACTCGCCGGAACGAGACGAGACATAGTAAGAGGGTCAGTTTAGCTGAAAGTTGTTTCAGTGACAGATAGGGATTATCTGGCCATGTTCTAAGAAAATCCAGCACCACGTCTACCTGCCAGAGGTTAGAATATTTGGGTGCCGGTGGTCTCGTTAGTTTAGCGCCCCGTAGAAGTCGGCATATCAGTGGGTCCTGCCCCACTGGTCTGCCTTGTATCGGGACGTGTGCCGCCGATATGGCTGATCTGATCACGTTGAGGGATCGATACGATCGTCCCAACGAGAACAGATGAGCTAGGTAGTTAAGGATCAGTGGGATAGGGGCATTAAAGGGATCGGAGTCCCGTTCCACACACCACTTACTCCAAGCCGCCCATGCGGACATATAGCATTTCCTGGTGCCTGGAGCCCAAGAGTCCCATAGGAGGTCCTTAGTCGATTGTGATAGGCCGTGGACTGACCAGGAGCCCCTGAAATCGTCCAAGCCACTAGTTCTAGTTGCCTTTCCAGGACGAGGGGGTGTGGTTCTCCTCGAGGTCCCGTCAGAAGTCGTGGGAAGGCAGGGGGTAGCCGGGGGTGTCCGTGGGACATTTCCAGGAGGTCTGGGAACCACGGTTGACTCTGCCAAAGCGGGGTTATCAGTAGAAGCGATAGTTTGCGGGTGCGTGTGTATCGCAGTACCCGTGGTATCATGGAGAATGGTGGGAAGGCGTAAGCCCCTAGGATGGGCCAGTCTTGCAGGAATGCGTCTGCCGCTTCGCTCTTCGGATCTGGGAGCCAACTGTAGTATCTCGGCAGTTGGTGGTTGGTCCTGGAGGCGAACAAGTCTATTGTTAGCGGGTCCCTCGCCGTAATTCTTGGAATATCTCCCTGTTGAGTTTCCAGTCGCTGGTGTCTCGCCAGTGGCGTGAGAACCAATCCGCCGTCAGGTTGGCGATTCCTGGTAGGTATTCCGCATGTAGCGTGATGTTCCGACGCAGGCAGAAGCTGTAGATGTCCTTCGTGGCCTCTGTCAGTGCTCGAGATCTCGCTCCGCCTAGGCGGTTGATGTACTGTACCGCCGAAATGTTGTCCATGCGGAGCAGAATACAGCAATTCGATTTGTCCTTGGCCAGGCTGCGGATGGCGAAGGATCCTGCAATCAGTTCCAGGCAGTTGATGTGTAGGTTGGTCTCCTCCTCTTGCCATGGGCCTCCCGTGGAGGCGTCCGCGCAGTGAGCTCCCCATCCCCATAGGCTGGCGTCCGATTCCACGATGAAGTCCGGGGAGGAGCCGAAGATAGCCTTTCCATTCCAGGCTTGCATGTGTAGTAACCACCATCGAAGTTCTGTCCTCACTTCCGTCGACAGTGGGATCCATTGGTCGTACGAGTGCCCAGTGCGGAGGTATGCCGCCTTCAGCCGTTGCATGGCCCTGTAGTGGAGCGGGCCTGGGAAAATCGCCTGTATGGAGGAGGAAAGGAGTCCCACGATCCGAGCGAGCATCCTGAGTGGTATCGTGTCCATCCTCAGAACCCGTCTGATTTCCTTCCTTATCGATGCTATCTTTGTCGAGGGGAGGCGTAGTACGCAGTCCTTCGAATCGATATCGAAACCGAGGAACTGAACCGACTGGGAAGGAGAGAGAGACGATTTTTGTCTGTTCACTACGAAACCCAAAGATTCCAGCAAGTGAACGACAAACTTCGTCTGCAATCGTAGTCTGGAGGCTGATTCGCAGAAAATTAGCAAATCGTCCAGGTATACGAGACATCTTATGCCGCGGGTTCGTATGTGCGCCATCACCGGTCTCAGGAGCTTCGTGAAGCACCACGGGGCTGAGCTGAGGCCGAACGGCAGACATGTGAACTGGCATATCCGTCCTCTCCATAGGAAGCGGAGGAAACATCGGCAGTGAACGCTCACTGGAACGGACAGGTACGCGTCCTTTAGATCCAGGCGTGTAAACCAGTCGTTCTTGATGAGGAGGTCTTGTAGAAGGTGGATTCCTTCCATCTTGAAATGCCTGTATACCACAAACGAGTTCAATTGTCGGAGGTTGATCACCGGTCTGTAGTCGCCTGTTTTCTTTTTGACCAGGAAGATGTTGCTTATAAAGCCTCCCCCTTCTGGTGCGTATTGTATCGCGCCTTTCCTGAAGAGTGTGTGGATCTCCTCGTCCACCAAGAGTTCTTGTTCCTTTGACAAGTGAATCGGAGGAGGGGGGTTGGGTTGTATGGGTTTTGTGAAGAAATCTATGACGAAGCCTCGTACTGTCTGTAGGACCCAGGCGTCTTTGGTAATCAGCTCCCAGTTCTGAAAGAAAAGGGACAGGCTGCCTGCTATAAAGTGTGAGACATTTTGGTATGTAGGGGGACTCACCATTGGAGAAACGGCCGCGTCCCCGACCTCTGAATCCTCTAGACCTCCCCGTCCCTCGGAACGAAGAGGGCCTTTGCGTCGTAGATGGGAAGAAACTTTGGGTCTGTGGGAGTGATCTGGAACCGGAGGTCCAAAAACGGCTGGTGGCTCGGTTCCGCTGCCGACCAGCCCTTCCAAAAACACCCCTTGTAGTCGGGGTATGAAAACTTGTTTGAGTGAGGTTTGGGCCTTATTCAAAGTGGTGAAAAGGTTCACGTGCTTTTTGAGTTCCGTGATAAAGGCGTCGCCAAACAGCTGTCCTTGGGCTTTCGGTCCGAATTCTTTCGCCCCGAGGTCCAGGAGCTTACTATCAATGCGGATGAGTGCCGATCTGCGTCTTTCGGTGCACAATGCGGCATTTGCGTTGCCCAGAAGGCACACCGATCTTTGAGCCCATTCCCGTATGATGTGAGGGTCTAGTTGGGAGCCTTGGCTGAGGGCTAGGTCTGCGAAGTAGAGTATTTTCGCAATGGGGCCGAGTAGGTCCAGCACCTTATCTTGTGTCGCCTTCATGCCTTTTTCCACTCCCTTTCGGGGGTCTCGGCCCGAGCGTGACATAAAGACCACAACTGTATTGTCAAATTCAGGGGTAAGTGCCACTTTGTCGGGTAACAAGGGTCTGGGGCATTCGGCCCGGAGACGTGCTCGTACCTCCTTTTCTAATGGCTTGCGTAGCCAGAAGTGAATGAACTTTGTCAGGTGGTCTGGTAAGCTCCACTCGGAAGACCGTGGGTGTCAGATGGAACGTGGGTCGAAGAGTGGGTTCCCTTGGTCATCTATAAACACTCCATCTCCGGTCTTATCCGTGTTGCTATCTCTGTCTCGGTCGGTGGTGTCGAGAAAGGTCTCCTTAACGTATCTCGAGGAGGTGGGAGGTAAGTCCTGCCATTCCTCTTCATCGGAAATTGATTCCTCCCCGTGCCACTCGTCGACCACGTCCAAGGTGCGTGGTACATAGGAGTCCTCTTCGTCGGAGGATGGAAATGGTTGGGGTGCGGGCTGTAGTCGGCCCGTGGTCTTACTCCGTTTGGTGGGTGATTTGCCCCTAGTCTTGGTGGAAGGGGGGGCTTAGAGTCTTTCGCTGTCGTTTTACTTTGGACATCTCTGAGCCCGAAGCCTCCATCCGTTCTGGGGGACTCATGTCGCCCTGACTTTGGGGTAGAGCTTTCAAGAGGGCTTTTTCTACAGATGCCGCCACTGCAGCATTAATCATAGCCTGAAAGTCCTGACTATTTTGGGTGTCTTCCATGATTTGTAGTGTGTTTTCCTCGGCCTGTTGGGCGATAATGAAAATCAGTGGAAGCGGTGGAGGAGAGTCAGTACATGTAGTGACAGACTCCTGGTACAACTGGGGGCCGCCCAGTTGGCAAAAATTGTGCTTAGAGGCGTATTGTATATGGGCTGTCGCCTAATACAGAGGCCGCCTGATATGAGCTCAGTGGTGGTGTATAGGTAGGGTTCGCCACAGTTGTACACCAGAGCTGTATTGCACGTTAGGTAGCAATCAGGGTTAAATGTCAGTTGAGGGCAGGTCCTCGTGCATATACTCGGGGTTCACCCCGGGTGGTGTGCCGTGGTAACCAGAGGACACCCACATAAGATAATGGTCAGTGACCTTGCATGCATATCTGGGGGGTCACCCCAGGTGGTGTGCCATGAAAAAATACCCAGAGGACACCCACATCAGTTTGCACCGTTAGGTACAGTAATATAATGTAACCCTTGAAGGGTGTTGCAATGTAATATGCCCTTGGCTGTAATGTAATATGCCCTTGGAGGGTACAGCAATATGGTATGACCCTGTAAAGGGTCTGGTAACAATATGCCTCTTGTGATTATATAGAAGTAGAAC